TAATGAAGAGAATTGTCAATATGCTCCACTCTGTCTACTGCACTCTCCTCTGTCTACTGCACTCTCCTCTGTCTACTGCACTCTCCTCTGTCTACTGCACTCTCCTCTGTCTACTGCACTCTCCTCTGTCTACTGCACTCTCTACTGTCTACTACACTACTGTCTACTACACTCTCTACTGTCTACTACACTTTCTACTGTCTACTACACTCTCTACTGTCTATTACACTTTTCTACTGTCTACTACACTCTCTACTGTCTACTACACTTTCTACTGTCTACTACACTTTCTACTGTCTACTACACTCTCTACTGTCTACTACACTTTCTACTGTCTACTACACTCTCTACTGTCTATTACACTTTCTACTGTCTACTACACTCTACTGTCTACTACACTTTCTACTGTCTACTACACTCTCAACTGTCTACTACACTTTCTACTGTCTACTACACTCTCTACTGTCTACTACACTCTCTACTGTCTACTACACTCTCTACTGTCTACTACACTCTCTACTGTCTACTACCCTATCTGCCTACTACACTCTCTACTGTCTACTGCACTCTCTACTGTCTACTACACTCTACTGTCTACTACACTCTCTACTGTCTACTACACTTTCTACTATCTACTCCACTCTCTGCGTACTACACTCTCTACTGTCTACTACACTCTCTACTGTCTACTACACTCTCTACTGCCTACTACACTCTACTGTCTACTACAGTCTCTACTGTCTACTCCACTCTCTGCCTACTACACTCTCTACTGTCTACTACGCTCTCTGTCTACTACTCTCTACTGTCTACTACACTCTCTACTGTCTACTACACTCTCTACTGTCTACTCCACTCTCCGCCAACTACACTCTCTACTGTCTACTACGCTCTCTACTGTCTACTACACTCTCTACTGCCTACTACACTCTCTACTGTCTACTACACTATCTACTGTCTACTACACTCTCTACTGCCTACTACACTCTACTGTCTACTACACTCTACTGTCTACTACACTCTCTACTGTCTACTACACTCTACTGTCTACTACACTCTCTACTGTCTACTCCACTCTCTGCCTACTGCATTCTCTACTGTCTACTCCACTCTCCGCCAACTACACTTTCTACCGTCTACTACGCTCCCTACTGTCTACTACACTATCTACTGCCTACTACACTTCTACTGTCTACTACACTCTCTACTGTCTACTACACTCTCTACTGTCTACTACACTCTCTACTGCCTACTACACTCTCTTCTGTCTACTCCACTCCCTGCCTACTACACTCTCTACAGTCTACTACGCTTTCTACTGTCTGCTACACTCTCTACTGTCTACTACACTCTCTACTGTCTACTTCACTCTCTACTGTCTACTACGCTCTCTACTGTCTACTATACTCTCTACTGTCTACTCCACTCTCTGCCTACTACATTCTCTACTTTCTACTACACTCTCTACTGTCTACTCCACTCTCCGCCAACTACACTTTCTACTGCCTACTACGCTCTCTACTGTCTACTACACTCTCTACTGTCTACTACGCTCTCTACTGCCTACTACACTTCTACTGTCTACTACACTCTCTACTGTGTACTACACTCTCTACTGTCTACTACACTCTCTACTGTCTAATTCACTCTCTGCCTACTATACTCTCTACAGTCTACTACACTCTCTACTGTCTACTACTCTCTCTACTGTCTACTCCAGTCTCTGCCTACTATACTCTCTACAGCCTACTACACTTTCTACTGTCTACTACACTCTCTACAGTCTACTACACTCTACTGTCTACTACAGTCTACTGCCTATGCTACTTTCTGCTGTCTAGGCCTACGTTCGCTCTGCTTATACCTCCTTCTTGTCTCCCTGGTTACCTGGCCGCTGTTGCTCCCTGAGAGCTCTGGTGTTGTTCTGAATGGCCTGGTTCAGTTCGTCCAGCAGCACCGTCAAGGTTCCAGTCTCTGGCTGCACCGTCGCTTCGCTCACTGCTGTCGTAAATAATATATCTGAAGCCACTTATCCGCAAAGGTGTGTAGATAAATGGTTCAGAGAACCGACGAGTTGATAAATTAGACACATGTGTAGCACTTGGGTGTCTTTATTATGGAGATGTTTCACCACACAGTGACTTCATCAGTCCAATACAGAGAAAAATAGTGAAGATCAGAAGGAGTTTGAGGTAATCAGTCCCTCAGCATAGAGTTGATATAATCAGTCCTTCAATCAGGATTGATGGACTCCAGGCTGAGGGATTGATTACCTCAAACTCCTGATCTTCAACCATTCTTCTCTGTATTGGACTGATGAAGCCACTGTGAAGCGAAACGTTTCCATAATGAAGATACCCAAGTGTTGCACATGTGTCTCATCATCTGCAAAGGTGATGTCTATAAAATTCATTTCTAAATCAAGGATTATGCAAATTATCTCTAATTATGAGTTTAAAACCAAATATCTTCAAAATATATTTCTCGACATCAAGATGTCAGATATCGGAAAAGCCATAAAACTGGTGCCATATGTTTGAAAATGTCTTGTATCTGGAGTTATGCAGTTGACGTAAGATGGTGGAGAAGCCTCATATTTAATCTCAGATATGCTGAAAGTCATGCTCAGATTATAATGTGTGCAAAGTCATGTTTAAACTTGCGTGTGTCCGAAGCCAAATTTGAAGCCAGAATCCTAAAAGTCAGTATATTCTTACAAATCTAAGATTCAGGAAATACTTTCTCACATCAATGACTCATTTGAATCATATAATTCCATTTGTGTCTTGTGTAGTGATCCCATGTTCATCCTGTTAAGTAGGCATGTTATACGTCGTAATCACGTCTCTTTTGGTCCTTCTGTGCTCTAATGTTATCAGGTTCAGTTTTTCTAGTCACGCCTCGGGTCATTATCCTTGGCTCTGAGACTAGTCTCGTTGTGAACGTCTCCATTTTCTCTAGTTTTTGGAAATACTTGACCAGGTGTGAGTTTTATTACGCTAATCTGTTGTTTATTCGCTGCAAAAGTTATCTGACGGGACTCGAAGAATATACCTGATATACTCACCTCTAGTGTTCACGCTATATTTTGCATTCCCTAACCCTTTTTGCCCTGTATGTACTCCTCTACTAGTGTTTCTCTTTCCCAATCCCATTTTTCATAAACTTGCACTTGATGTTGCTGAATTATAGTACCTGCTTATTTGACCGTCCCTACAGTGTGTCCAAGTTATATTGTAACTGTGTTTAGCCAGGTGACGAGTAGCTTCAAGGAGTCGAGGTTTGTGTGAAGGTATATGAGTGTGTTTAAGGGCATACGGATGTAAGTATGAGTAAGAGTGACTGGAAACTCGCCTTGCTTAGAACTTCCTTAATCCGAACTGGGTCACCATATACTATTACCTAAATAAACCTTACTTATTCATTATTTAAATTTTCAACGCTGTATCATCTCAGTGAGTTTAATTTTTTCACGAATACAGCAAATAAGCTAAGAGCTTACCAGGGACATTAACTGGGTTACTTTTGACATTGCGTTCAGGAGTGAGAGACTCATTAAGCTCGCTAAGGACCTCAGACAGGTACTGGATAGCCTTGATGGTCTTCTCCTGCAGGCTGTTGTTCTCTGTGATGATGGCTGGTGCCAGGAACACGCCTTGCAGCAACCCCCCCACCACCACCAGCGTCAGGAGATGCATCCTCATGGTCTAGAGCACCAGGTCGACCTCCTGTAGAAGTTACAGAAGATGGGAGAGAGATCAGAACAATCTCAACTCTATGTATTACTGAAATTATTAGTGTTAATATACGTTATAATTTATTAAATATCTTAACTGGTATTAACTTACATTAACCTTAAACAGCGTATGTAGAGAAATCGGCTTAAATTAATACAGATGAAAACTAAAGTTGTGAGTCAGAATAGTTTAGAGAAAGAAAGATTTGTTTATACGGTGAGAGTAATGATGACATTGTAAAGAAACTTAAATTATGTAAGCCTACTTTCACTATTCCATTTAAACATGTATTTTTAAATCCATCCAATGTGTTGTTGAGAGGAAGGCAGTGATGTGGGAGGACGGTCGTGAGAGATAGTGAAGCTCATTCACCATGGTGGAAATAGCTCAGACACAAGCAAGCACGCATGCACTCACGTGTGCACGCATGTAGTGAACGCGGATGCACATTATTCATATTTATGGTAAGTGATAACCCCCAGAGGGGTCACAAAGTGTTGCACACACAAGACTCTTCATCTTAAAGACTTAAGAAGGAAAACGGGATAAAGTGAAACACCAAGACCAACAGGAAGAAGGTTGGTAGACAGCAGCCACCGGGGATCCCTCACCAGTGAGGGATCTGATATCCGGGTGGATTTGATGGGGATTTGAGGAAATGGAAGGAATGGACGAAACTGGTGAAACGGACTACATAGTAGGTACAATTCAGTCTGGGGGACATAAGGTAGTCATTGCAGAGACGTATAACCCGCTACAGAACTGCAGGAGGCCAAGAGAAGACTATGAAGAGAGCAACAGAGCAATGGTGGACACACTAGCTGAGGTGGCCAGAAGAGCTCACAGGGGTAGAGCAAAGTCACTAGTTATGGGCGATTTCAATCACAAGGAGATTGATTGGGAAAACCTGGAGCCACATGGAAGTCCCGAAACATGGAGAGCCAAGATAATGGATGTGTTACTGGAAAACCTAATGCATCAACATGTTAGGGACACTACCAGAGGGTGAGGGGAGGATGAGCCAGCAAGCCTGGACTTTGTGTTCACCCTGAGTAGCTCCGACATTCAGGACATCACATATGAAAGGCCCCTTGGAGCAAGTGATCACATGGTTCTGAGCTTTGAATACATAGTAGAGTTACAAGTGGAGAGGGTAACAGGAGTAGGATGGGAAAAGCCAAACTACAAAGGGGGGACTACACAGGTATGAGGAACTTCCTGCAGGAGGTTCAGTGGGAAAGAGAATTGGTAGGAAAGTCAGTAAACGAAATGATGGACTATGTAATAACAAAAGCCAAGGAGGCAGAGGAAAGAAAGTTTGTTCCCAAGGGTAACAGAAATAATGGGAAGACCAGAACGAGCCCTTGGTTTACCCAAAGGTGTAGGGAGTCAAAAACAAAGTGCACTACAGAATGGAAAAAGTACAGGCGACAAAGGACTCAGGAAAATAAAGAGATAAGTTGAAGAGCCAGAAACAAGTATGCACAGATGAGGAGGGAGGCCCAGTGACAGTACGAAAATGATACAGCATCAAAAGTCAGGTCTGACCTGAAGCTGTTGTATAGCCACATCAGGAGGAAGACAACAGTCAAGGACCAGGTAATCAGGCTGAGGAAAGAAGGTGGGGAGCTCACAAGAAATGACCAAGAACTATGTGAAGAGCTCAACATGAGATTTAAGGAAGTATTTACAGTGGAAACAGAAAGGACTCCGGGAAGTTAGAACAGGGGGGTACACCAACAAGGGATATACCAACAAGTGTTGAATGAAATACACACAAGCAAGGAGGATTTGAAAAAGCTGCTAAGTGACCTTGATACCTCAAAGGCAGTGGAATTGGACATTTCTCTGTGGGTCTTTATAGAGGGAGCAGGGATGCTGTGTGTGCCACTAACAACAATTTTCAACACATCCATTGAAAGTGGACAACTACCTGAGGTATGGAAGATGGCAAATGTAGTCCCCATTTTTAAGAAAGGAGACAGACACGCGGCACTAAACTATAGATCATTGTCACTGATGTGTATAGTATGCAAAGTCATGGAGAAGATTATCAGGAGGAGAGTGGTGGAGCACCTAGAACGGAGCAAGCTTATGAATGACAACCAGCACGTATTCGTGAAAAGCAAATCCTGTGCCACAAACCTACTGGAGTTTTATGGCAAGGTAATGGAAGTAAGACACAAGAGAGAGGGGTGGGTAGATTGCATTCTCTTGTACTGCAAGAAGTCCTTCGACACAGTTCCTCACAAGAGATTAATGCAAAAGATAGAGGATCAGGCACATATAACAGGAGGGGCACTGCAATGGATCGGAGAATACCTGACAGGGAGGCAACAACGAGTCATGGTACGTGATGAGGTATCAGAGTAGGCGCCTGTGACAAGCGGGGTTTCACAGGGGTCAGTCCTAGGACCAGTGCTATTTTTGGTATATGTGAATGACATGACGGAACAGACTCAGAAGTGTCCCTGTTTGCAGATGATATGAAGTTAATGAGGAGAATTAAATCGGACGAGGAACAGGCAGGACTACAAAGAGACCTGGACAGGGTGGAAGCTTGGTCCAGCAACTGGCTCCTCGAATTTAACCCCACCAAATGCAAAGTCATGAAGATCGGGGAAGGGCAAGGAAGACCGCAGAGAGAGTATAAGCTAGATGGCCAAAGACTGCAAACCTCACTCAGGGACCAGGATCTTGGGGTGAGTATAATACCGAACACATCTTCTGAGGCGCACATCACCCAGATAACTGCTGCAGCATATGGGCGCCTGGCAAACCTGAGAATAGCGTTCCGATACCTCAGTAAGGAATCGTTCAAGACTCTGTACACCGTGTACGTCAGGCCCATACTGGAGTATGCAACACAAGTTTGGAACCCATACTTGGTCAAGTACGTCAGAAAATTAGAGAAAGTGCAAACGTTTGCAACAAGGCTAGTTCCAGAGCTAAGGGGAATGTCCTACGAGGAAAGGTTAAGGGAAATCGGCCTGACGACGTTGGAGGACAGGAGGGTTAGGGAAGACATAATAACGACATACAAAATGCTGCGAGGAATTGACAAGGTGGACAAAGACAGGATTTTCCAGAGATGGGACACGGAAACAATGGGTCACAATTGGAAGTTGAAGACTCAGATGAGTCAAAGAGATGTTAGGAAGTATTTCTTTAGTCATAGAGCTGTCAGGAAGTGGAATAATCTGGGAAGTGACGTAGTGGAGGCAGGAACCATACAGTTTTAAGACGAGATATGATAAAGTTCATGGAGCAGGGAGAGAGAGGACCTAGTAGTGATCAGTGAAGAAGCGGGGCAGGAGCTATGTCTCGACCCCTGCAACCACAAATAGGTGAGTACAAATAGGTGAGTACTCAGACTGACTCACAAAATAGACGCAACTCACCTTAAAGACACTTAGCAACTTGAACTCGTTAAGTATCACCTTCTTCGACCTTACAGGGACTTACAAGTTCTCGTCGCTTCCCAAATATCAAACACCGAGCAGAGAACTAGTCTTGAAAGAGGACGTGGGAAGACTGACGTACTCTACTAAGATGTGCATGTGTGTGTGTTGAGAGAAGACTCATTGAGGCTTGCAGTACACCCCGTGTCTGGCCTTCTCAAGGGGCCCTATTCATGCCATGGCCCTCCTGACTTCCCTGCAACCCTGACCCTCTCTCCCTTGACTGACGACAAGTGAGCTATACATATATGTTACAAAATAAAGGTCACTGAAAAAACAACATTAACATGTATTAGGAATATAATCATTCTGTAATTAAAGTTCGTTGGATTTAAAAAGAAAATAGGATTTGCAGTGACTAGTTATCAAAATCTTGAAAAGGCCGAGGATGACGTTGATACCGCCAGCATCGCATCATGTAACTGGTATAAATGTTTTGCCGTCACAGTGGCTGGAATGTTGTATCACAGGATGAGTTGGGTTCAGCACTCGACTCTCACTGAAAAGCAAACCTAATCTTAGGATGCTGCTTTTACGTAACAAACAGTAGCGTGATGGATGTTTCAGTGGGGTGGTTTATGGTTCAGTGGTATGATGGATGGGTCAGTGGTGTGGTGCATGGTTCAGTGGGGTGGAGGATGGTTCAGTGGTGTGGTGCATGGTTCAGTGGGGTGGAGGATGGTTCAGTGGTGTGATGCATGGTTCAGTGGGATGATGGATGGTTCAGTGGTGTGGTGCATGGCTCAGTGGGGTGGTGGATGGTTCAGTGGTGTGATGCAAGTTTTAGTGGGTGTGGGATGGGTTCAGTGGTGTGGTGCATGGCTCAGTGGGGTGGTGGATGGTTCAGTGGTGTGATGCAAGTTTTAGTGGGGTGGTGGATGGTTCAGTGGTGTGGTGCATGGCTCAGTGGGGTGGTGGATGGTTCAGTGGTGTGATGCAAGTTTTAGTGGGGTGGTGGATGGTTCAGTGGTGTGGTGCATGGTTCAGTGGGGAGGGGATGGTTTCATTGGTGTGGTGGATGGTTCAGTGGTGTGATGCATGTTTCAGTGGGGTGGTGCATGGTTCAGTGTGTGATGGATGGTTCAGTGGTGTGATGGATGGTTCAGTGGTGTGATGCATGTTTCAGTGGGGTGGTGGATGGTTCAGTGGTGTGATGGATGGTTCACTGGTGTGGTGCATGGTTCAGTGGTGTGATGGATAGTTCAGTGATGTGGTGCATGTTTCAGTGGAATGATGGATGGTTCAGTGGTGTGGTGCATGGTTCAGTGGGGTGGTGGATGGTTCAGTGGTGTGGTGGATGGTTCAGTGGGGTGGTGGATGGTTCAGTGGTGTAGTGGATGGTTCAGTGGGGTGGTGGATGTTCAGTGGTGTTATACATGTTTCAGTGTGTGGTGCATGGTTCAGTGGGGTGGTGGATGGTTCAGTGGTGTGATGTTTCAGTGGCGTGGTGGTGGTTCACTGGGGAGACTGATAGTTCAGTGGTGTGATGGATGGTTCAGGGGTGTGGTGGATTGTTCAGGGGTGTGGTGGATTGTTCAGGGGTGTGGTGGATGGTTCAGGGGTGTGGTGGATGGCTTAGAGGGGTGGAGATAGTAGTGTCACTACTGATGTCTCACACTGTCTGGTTGATAGTAGTGTCACTACTGATGTCTCACACTGTCTGGTTGATAGTAGTGTCACTACTGGTGTCTCACACTGTCTGGATGATAGTAGCGTCACTACTGGTGTCTCACACTGTCTGGATGATAGTAGCGTCACTACTGGTGTCTCACACTGCCTGGATGATAGTAGCGTCACTACTGGTGTCTCACACTGCCTGGATGATAGTGTCACTACTGGTGTCTCACAGTGGATGATAGTGTCACTACTGGTGTCTCACAGTGGATGATAGTGTCACTACTGGTGTCTCACAGTGGATGATAGTGTCACTACTGGTGTCTCACAGTGGATGATAGTGTCACTACTGGTGTCTCACAGTGGATGATAGTGTCACTACTAGTGCCACAGGCTTCTCCTGGTCATTCCGCTTCCCCGGTGGTTCGTCTTCAATATTTTTAAAACATTTAATAATTTCTCTTGTTTTTGCTTAGCAATAATGTTATGGATTATCTGTTTGACCTTAAATATATTGGTGGCTAATTGAGTAGCTAGCTTGCTGACTAACTGGGTAGCTGGCTGGTTGGATGGCTTTCTGGCTGGCTGGCTGGCTGGCTGGCTGGCTGGCTGGCTGACTGGCTGACTTTCTGGCTGGTTGGCTTTCTGGTTGGCTAGCTTTCGGGCTGGCTGGTTGACTGGCTGGTTTTTTGACTGGCTGGCTGGCTTTCTGGCTGGCTAGCTGGCTGACTGGCTGGCTGGCTATCTGGTTGACTGGCTGGCTTCCTGGCTGGCTGGCTGGCTTCCTGGCTGACTGGCTGGCTGGTTGACTGGCTGGCTGGCTGGTTGACTGACTGGCTGGCTGGCTGGTTGACTGGCTGACTGGCTGGCTGTCTGGTTGGTTGACTGGCTGGCTGTCTGGTTGACTGGCTGGCTTCCTGGCTGACTGGCTGGTTTCCTGGCTGACTGGCTGGCTGGTTGACTGGCTGGCTGGCTGGTTGACTGACTGGCTGCCTGGCTGGTTGACTGGCTGACTGGCTGGCTGTCTGGTTGGTTGACTGGCTGGCTGTCTTCCTGGCTTGCTGGCTGGTTGACTGGCTGGCTGGCTGGCTGGCTTGTTGACTGGTTGGTTGGCTGGCTGGCTGGCTGGCTGGTTGACTGACTGGCTGTCTTCCTGGCTTGCTGGCTGGTTGACTGGCTGGCTGGCTGGCTGGCTTGTTGACTGGCTGGCTGGCTGGCTGGCTGGCTGGCTGGCTTGTTGACTGGCTGGCTGGCTGGCTGGCTGGCTGGCTGGCTGGCTGGCTGGCTGGCTGGCTGGCTGGTTGACTGACTTTCTATATTTATTTTATGGGAAACAACTTATTTAATAAAACTGCCAAATTGAAATTTACATAAATCAAAGTGAATGCCAAACTTTCTTTTAATAAGACTCGCCAATGGCAGAAGTTTGAAGTCGATCAGAAACGGCATTCTCCAGTAATTCCTCTCATTCCAACTTTTCCAATTTTTTTTTAACAATTTCATTAAAATTTCAGATTTGTAGCTACCAACATTAAGTATATGGGTTATCATTCTACTTTATGAATACCTCGTCAAAAATATTTCGAAGTCGAACAGAAGCATTCTATGATTTTTTTTAATATAAATGAAAAAAAAAATCACTCGTCAATAAAAACGGCATACAAGGACTTATGCCACCCAATAATAATGTGAACTTTGCGTTCAGAAAACAACACCAGTAGTGAAAATTTGAAGCCGATCAGTCTAGTCATTCTTCAGTCATATCACAGATTCCAAGTTTTTTTTTTTTTAACTTTTTTCTATATTGACAATTTTTTCCCACTGTGGCATGCTGAGAGTACATTACATTTTATTCGGCGTATGTCACATACCCATATAGGCTGCCTCCCAACCAGTGAATCAGGTACTAAGATTATAATGAGCGGGGCCCCCTTGTTATGGTAGCACCTTGGTTCAACCAGCCAATGACAAAGAAGCTCACCAATGTTGTGATGTTGGAGACTCGTGAAGTAACATTGGCAGACTGACCTCCCAGTCTGGTTGAAGACAGTTCTCACCGTGTCTCTTGCTTGCAAATTGCCTTACTGTACATATCCTCTGTAAATATTGTACAATATTGTACATATAATTACTTGCTGTTTGGTGAAGGAAATATATACAAGTATTTACTCACCACTGCTTTTTTTTCCTCGTTCCTCGTTTCTACCTTGGTTATGATGCTACAACCAGGTGTGCAGGCCACAGGGCTGCACCTGTATTCGTAATATACACACACTACGAACCTTAATAGATACTATCCGGGCCCTAAGATGCGTCACCCATTAAATACTGAAGTTGTTCAGGAGAGGTAAAGTCAAATTTATTTAACATAATTTAACAGGAATAAAAACTTCACGCTATTTTACATATAAGATGGTCAGATCTGCTGCTGTTACACCGCTGAGTGTCACTCTCCGCCACCGTTGTATTTTCTGGCACCTTCTGTCAGCGTTTGAAGCTCCACCCCCCCCCTCAAGGAAGGTTCCTTGATTCTGATGAGGGGCTCTTTATCTATGGAACTGGATCTGTGTTCCAGTTCCCTGAATTAAGCCTGACTACCTTCCACCCCCCCCCCCCCACAGGCGCTGTATAATTCTACGGGTTTGGCGCTCCCCCCTTGATTATAATAATAAATAAAGCTCTACCACTGAGAATTTTGGAAGTTATCCCAGCCATTCCGGGATAAGATAAGATTTTATTCGGATTTTTAACCCTGGAGGGTTAGCAACCATGATAACCCAAGAAAAGCAGTGCGTCATTAAGGACTGTCTGCCTTATTTCCACTGTGGTCTTCAACCTTGTCCCCCAGGATGCGACCCACACCAGTCGACTAACACCCAGGTACCCACTTTCTTGCTAAGTGAACGGGACAACAGGTGTAAGGAAACAAGCCCAATGTTTCCACCCTTGCCGGGGATCGACCTACAGACAGTGTGTGGAGCAAAAGCGTTGCCTACCAGGCCACGGGCCACCGTACGATGCTGGGAATGGGTTCAACAACATTGATCGTAAGGAACACAAACATACCAATTGTTCCATGAATTTGGTCCTCCTTATCGTACACAAGTGTTGAAAATTTGAAGCCGTTTGGATGAGGCGTTCTCGAGTTATGAGCGAAACAAAATCGAAACGTTGGAGGAAGAAAGTAAATTCAGATAACTTCTTAAAGGCACTCTCGGGATACCTAAATACGCACCCCTTTTGTATCATATTGTTTTCAGGTAAGCGCAAAAAACCGTGTGGGTCATACAGCTAGGATGAAAAAATGTGTAGAAGACCACTGAAAATTTTAAACTCTACAGAAAAAAACTGAATGAAAAAAGTTATACACTGTGGGTATGTCTCTCGTGTATAATTTGGGGTTTAAAAAACCCTAAACCCAATTTAGGTTCGAATATTCTTGCTGGGGGTAAAGGGTCACACACTTGTCAATGGCCAAATTTTGGATAAAACTCGTTATA